AGCTGCGAGTGACTCGTGCTCATCTGATCTACCGGATCAGTTGACGAAGACTTAAACAAACACTTAATAACAAGCTGAGTGTGTGGTGTGCACTGGGGAGTGCACGACTAGCAGCTGCCCTACAGCTTAACAATAGGCTAATTCACTGCACATATAAACAAAAGTACACATACACACACACACACACACATGCATGCACTCACTGCTTGCGCTCACTCCTTATAGAGACCACACCATGTGAAATTAGTCACTAACTGGCTTGGACTCTAGTTGCACGATTTCAATGAAATTTTCAGCACAAAGAAAATAGACTTGGATATTTATATATTTAAAAAGAGTTTTTGTAACCTGAACCCATTAAAAAGGAGAACTCAGAACGAAATGATTTTATTTTTCAATTCATTTCTGGGGCATAGGCTTAAATCCCAAGTATTTATTATTGTTTATTCATTACAACGAATGAAATGTGTTCTACTTTTTAAGAACTTTAAGTTCTGCTTAAAAAACAAGAAAAAATATATATTTTTAACGATATAACAGAAATGTGTGGAGTTATCGAAAGAAAGATATGAATTGTTACTGCATAAGAATATATATAACAAAATGCAAGTCTCTCGCTTTATAAGTTCGTAGAGTCTATACGAAGTCGGAGCTATAGATCGAAGCAGTTCTTAGCACTGATGAACAATATAAACACATCTGACTCACTTCTACTGCTGCCCACGCCTAGGCAAAAAATCAATATACTCCTACCTAACCAGAGTATACCAAACTTAAGAGCCTAGAAACTAGGCCTATAAGCCATTAGCACATACGTGTAATGAACAATGTTTATACATAATATAAATATCAATAAATCGTTTGCTTGTTACAGATACGAACGTCTGCTGCAGCGCGCACAAGTTGAGGATTTGAACGAAGTGTCTGGCATCGGCTGTCTATATCAGAGTGGAGTGGATCGTCTGGGCAGACCTGTGATTGTGTTCTGTGGCAAATGGTTTCCAGCACAGAACATTGACCTGGAGAAGGTGCAGTTAACCACCTTTATGGCCAAAACTATTGCTAACTAATATGCTATTTGTATGCTATATTGCAGGCACTGCTGTATCTGATAAAACTGCTCGATCCGATTGTCAAAGGCGATTATGTCATTGCCTACTTCCACACGCTCACATCCACAAACAACTATCCATCGTTGCACTGGCTCAGAGAGGTCTACAGCGTGTTGCCCTACAAGTGAGTGCACAGATAAAGACAAAGCCCATATACCCGCTTTGCACTTTGCGAGCGAGCATTCGAATAACGTCTATTTACGATCCTTCTCAATAGATACAAGAAGAATCTGAAGGCCTTCTACATAGTGCACCCCACATTCTGGACTAAAATGATGACCTGGTGGTTCACCACGTTTATGGCACCTGCCATCAAGGCGAAGGTGCACTCGCTGCCAGGCGTTGAGCACTTGTATTCGGCCATAACGAAGGATCAGCTGGAAATACCCGCCTATATAACCGAATATGATATGGCAGTGCGTACTCTAAACATATATCAACTAAATTTACCTTTACTCATTCCATTTCTCTCTTCTAGACCAATGGCCTGCATTATTTTAACCCTGTGCCGACTGCCTCGTAGATGTCAGCCATTGTGGCTGTCTAGAGGCAGCTGTAAACCACCAGATATATAATACACATAGTTATACACATTATACACACACATACACACACACACACACACACACACGTATATACAGACGTATATTGAAATTTTTTATAAATTTTATAGAATTGTACTCTTTGTTTTCTTATTATAAATTGTAAGTCGAAACATTTGTTTTTTGTTTTCAATTGTTGAAGTCGTTTTTGAGTAGGTATTAACCCAAATGGAATGCGAGCTGATCAAGTGTAGAACTAGAGGAATATATATATATATAAACTATATATATAAACTAAATTCAAATGTTATCCAAAGTAAAAGAAAAACATGTTAAAACATTCTTATGAAAGTGCATGAGAAACAAAAATTTTGTTGATTTGCTAAAGAACAAAAACTTAAAAAAAATTAACAACAAATTAGAAAAGCTAAAACAAATTGAGAATTCGATTAGCATTGTTTGTAGTTAAACAAAAATAACTAAATTATAATATACAACTAAATTGTATTACGGCCTATGTACTTCTATATAGTGCTATATCTTTAACTGTATTATCTCTTGCGAGAGCGCGAGAAGAAAATCCCCCCAAAACCAAGAAAACAAATACGTACATACTATATAAATTCAATTGTAATGAAATTATGAAATTATGAAATTATATATACACTAATTATACACACTAAAAACCAAAAATAAAAATAAAGATAAAAACTATATATATATAAATATATATACATACGTTGCAATAAATAAAAGAGAAGGAAAACCCCCGAACGAAACATGCATAATATATATATTTTAAAAGAATTGTTAAACGAAATGAAAACCTTTTGTAGATACTAATTATAAAAATATAAAAAAGATTAATTAAAATTAATTTAGAGCTCAAATAAGGCCCGCAATTGAAACACCAAAAGAAGCATCAAAAATTAAACTAACAATTAATAAATGTTCAATGTTAAAAATGGTTTAAAATGGTTTAAGCCAACATCAACACACACAAACTCACACACATTTATATAAAGCTAAGTCCTTGTTAATCTTCCATGCACCTTTTGCGCTCAAAAATGAAAAAACCAAAAAACTAGTAAAAAAAATTGGCAGTCGGATGCAGTCGATTGCATCATACTCGTTCACAAGTGAAGCTTTTCAATTAGAAAGCAGCTTCGTCTGAAGGTCAAACTTTGTGTGTCCAGTGGAGCTTGACTCAGCTGGTAGAACTTGTAGGGTTCTCAGACTTATCACATTCCAATGCAAGCAGCAGACAACAAATTCGTTCGCCTCGAGCTGGTAGAGGGGCTCAGCTAAGAGGCAACTTCAAAGACAATTAATGAGAGCAGAGCAAGAGTATATACATGATCTGTATACACTCGAGCAATATACCTCAATTTAGCTGATCTAAGCTGTAGTATATTCGCCAGCCTTAAGGCTGGACAGTCAGGTGACAAGCCAATATACTCTCTTCACGCTTGCTGAACGCGTATGCAAAAAGCATTAATTAACTAATTCCTTAACTTTTTTTCTCGAACTTATCTAAAGCACGTTTCACAACATATTATGTCGATTGGTAAACAAAAATTAAGAATAAACAGTGCGTATACCTAATGCGTGCGTATACTTAATGTAATCTAATCTAATGTAGCTAAAGAAATTACAAACTTTTTTCAATTAGGGCAAACGCGCGCAAAGCAAAATCAATTCTCGAATGCTGAATACTAGAAAAAGAAGAAAACAAATCAACTTTCAAAAAACCTATAAATATCATAAAAGCAACAAAAAAGTTAAAAAAAAAACACCAAGAAGCAGAACAATTTAAGCGAATTACATTAAAAAAAAAAAAACAAAAAAAGAAGTAAAAAAATGCACTCAGGGATTGATTTAAACAAAAACCAAAAACAAAATAGAAAAAGAGGAAGATGAAGAAGGAGAATACCACAAGAGAAACCCAAAAAATATTTAGATAATACGCTTTTTTGGAAGCACAGCGAATATCGTAAAACCTTTTTGCAAAACACACAAATCGGCTGCCTGGCTAGTACCTAAAGAACTAAATGTAGAAATAGAATTCAAATGAGAGCTATAGCATTTAACTATATGATATGATACATTATGATATGATATATGATATGAGAAATTAGCAAAATGTTTTTTAGGCTCTTTAAAGAAAATCTTTGAACAATTGTAATTGTAATTGTAAACATCATCAAAAATTTATGCCAAAAAATGCAAAAAAGAAAAAGAAAACAAAATTTTTGTATTGCTAAATTGAAAACAAATTTATATTTATATAGTTGGAATATATAGCAATTGAATTGCTTCTACCACATGCATACATATATATAAACATATATTTTTGTCACCCACACACACACGTGCATAACTAGAATCCCAATTATACAACAAAAAGATATATATATATATATAGAAAAAAAAGGAGAGTTATAGGTAAAAAATGCAGCCCACAGAATATAATTTTTGAAAACTACAAACTACAAAAAGATAATCATATATACATATATATATACGAGATATATATATATATTTGTTATAGCCTAACTGCATTTTCTATAAGCTACCAAGTGTGTCAGATATGCCAGATATACAAATTAGTAATCCGATCCCAAGTCCAACTAAATGCCAAGTGCTCCTTCTACAGCAAAGATTCCTAAATCGATTTTAGTTCTTCAATTCCTTGTAGATAATTTATAATAATTTAGTAATTCGGAAGCCAACTACAATTAATTAGGCAACAAGAAACATGATAGCAAAAGAAATTACTATAATTCATTTCATTTGATTTAGTGAAAGCTTTAGTAAAAACTTTTTTAATCGGAAAGTGATTTGTTGCTAAAGAACGGATGGAAGAAAGATAGAAAAATTTAATTGTACCTTAATTGAAGATTCTGCGATTGAATTTAGTGTAGCATAATATTGTATTTTTAACAAATTCCTTATAGTTATTAATTGTTAAACCAAATGAGAAGAGAAAAAACCAAAATTCTATTTAGTATTTAGAACCTATCTAATATATATATATAAACCAAATGAAAAGTTAATGGCACAAAACACTAAAGCAACAAGAGAACAAAAAAACATTTAGTTAAGTTTTCCAAATATGAAATTTCGAATCCTCCTCCTCGTTTTTCTTTTTGTATATAATATTTATGTACGAAGTAACAAATTTAATTGGTAAATTAATAATTAATAATAATATTAATAAAAAGAACATACGCTTTCGTTAAAATTAACCAACTAACCTTCTTTATTGTGTACAATTGCTAATTAATAACTACAAACTAAAAGCGTAGACAAATGCTTAAAAACTTAAAATCACTAACAATTGCACCTTAAATAGTAATCCTGAAATTTTTTTTGGTTTTTAATTTTGGTTTTAATTTTGTCATTTGAAAAGCAGCACAAGCTTTTAGTGTGACCTTCTTTGCTTTTGAATGAAAATCCCCAAAGACTATATATTTTGTGAACGAGTTGGCAGTCCCAAACAGTTGAATCGGGTGTTTAGTTTATAATTAGTTGTGTGTTTGACGCGTTCGGCAAGTATTTAGCTTTATGTTCTTCAAACAACTCCTCCAATGCTTTCATTACCTTGCCGTGCAACTCGTCAACATAGGCAGCATCCGGATTAGCATTCTTCACGACATCAATTGGCGCGCCAACTAAAAGGCAATGAACCAGCCCGTAGATTAGTTTATACGAGGATCGAGTATTTTTCAGGTCTACTTACTAACTTGTACGATTGGCCGGCGATAAGGCACAACGCCGAAGGGATAATGGAAGATGTCCCGACCCAAGGGTATAAGCGGTGCTATGCCCGTTTGCTTCTTTACTGCAATCTGAAAGTTACGCAGTTTCGAACCAGGTGGATTGGCCACCTGCTGGAAGATGTCAACTTCACCAAATGAAATACTGGGAACAATTGCAGATCTATTCATAAGAGACAAAGAGAGACGAAGATAGTTGAAAGCAATGGAAGAGTTATACAGTTAATTTTCCTCTCGCCGTCTGTCTATTTACCCTGTACGCACGGCCATCTTTACAAAGCCCTTGCGACTCTTGAGCGTTAATATATATTGGCCGGGATGTGAGTCGAGCGCCTCCTGTGCACCGCCTACCAAAATAGCCACCGCATTGGAGGTGAAGCCATCGCGGTTGTCGGAATGTTTCGGATCATTAGACTTGGTGAGGAAGTACATCAGCGACTCCTTTGACACGGAGATCAGCCCCCAGCATCGTAGGAAATGCCGCAGAAAAGGTGTGACAAAATGCTGATTAAGTGTGCCCACCTTTGGACGCACCTTGGGGAACAGCTTGAGCCATACACTAATATCGAAAGCCATATTGATACAAATTCCGGTGCTGCAAGTAAGTCATATAATATATATATGTATTGCTGATAAGATATCTTAATGCAAGTAGCTACCCAAGTATGCCGTGTGGAAAGCTAGCTATTATGTAGTTTTTATTGGGCGGCAGTTCGGCAGTCTTAATCAATTGAACGGGAAAGTAATTACGATATATACGACTTATAACGTTGTCGCGCATTAGCATGCAGCTGGAAGCAATAATGTATAATGTGATGTTTATTGGGAAAATATCAATTCGTCATAACTTAGACATACCCATTGCCATCTACGGGGGAGTGATTGAATTTGTGCCGCACGTATATAATGGCCGTATAGATGATCAACACACTGCGTACCATATAGCCGCCAAAGAACTGTAATAAAATATAAGTGATAGATATGCACATATGTACATATATAAATATGTAAGAACCTACAGCATATGCTCTCTTCCAAACCCTCTCTCTTCTCTCCCTCTTCTAAAGTTTTGCTACAGCTCCCACCCGAACTATTTGCAAGCGCTTTTAATTAGCGTGAGAGTTAAAGCGATCGAGTGAGACGGCTGCTCACACTTACTTACTTTCAAATACTTTATCTCTCTCTCGCTCTCTCTTTCATATGAATTGTGTACGATTGTATGTGTATATACGCATGCATATTTAAACTTTCTATTTTCCTTCTTTCCTTCCATGACAGTAGGATTTCAAACTAGTTAAAGCGTTTGCCCTGCTTATATAAAATGTTGATTTTCTAATTGATTATTTTTAGAAACGGTATTAGAACGTTGACACCATTCAAGATAACTTTATCACAGCACGCACACACATATATAGGTAGTTCTTTACCTATTTGCCCTCGAACATATTTATCGTGTTACTGCTACTAAGTTTGTCCTGGCAAGCCGCGGCAGTTCGCTTTGATGTACTCTTTGGGTACTGTGTACTTACCAATAGAATAAGTGAGGCGTATAATGAGTTCAGAGGCAATGTGAAGAAGAACGACGTAAAGGCGGCCATGACAACAAGTTCCAGGCACGTATATCCGGCGCCCTTAATAGACGATATGATCTTCATGTTGAACTCTGTGTGTAACTAGGAGGAGTAAGGAGTAGACAGTAGCGAGTAGAGTAGAGTTGACCAGAGGGCAGACACGCCTCAGTTGACTTCCCATCAACGACTGAGCAGTCGCACAAATGTTCAATGCGTTCTTATCCTTATCGCTAGCTGTGCAGAGAGACCATCGGACATCGCTTTTAACACTTTAAGAACGCATTTTAGTGATAATTATTTAGCGATAAGTTTTGGCTGGCATTGATAAAGTGCCCCCATGCACTAAAATATTTTTTCTATTATCTAAAATATTTTCGAAAGTATTTTACAATTGTAAATGCTTTTCGGAACATACAGGTGATAAGCCGGTCCTTATCAATAAACTGGATAGGCAAACTTAAGTTTAACTAACTAGAGTGGGTTAATATATAGATATATATAAACTGCGTCGTTGTTATATCATCTATTCTTGTTGCTATAGGCATAAGAAAAGTAAGCCTTTATGTGTCACATATTCTACAAATTTATATGTGTCAATATATGTCTATATACCCCACTCAGTCTTGACCTTTAGAACAGATTCGCTTTCATAAAAACGGACACACATACAGAATGTCTAAGTACAGCAGTTGAATGTTCCGTAAAATTGAGTTGTGTGTAGGGTTCAGATAAGAAATTTGAGCAAATAGTTCTACAACAAATAGACAAATGTCTGCTAATAGGCTGGTTTTCTATTCTTATCAATATATGTGAATGGGCCATCGGCTTATTTGCTTTGTCATGCTTAATCATGATGTAAATAAATTCATGAATATATGAACTGCACATGTAAAAGTTTTTGTTGCATTACACTCGACTCGTTCTATATAATAGTTATATATACTGGTTGAACTTGGTATTACATTGCTACGTTACATTCAACCGGTTTGAAGCGATTCTCAAGCAAAAGCGAAGTGCATTTAATTTGAAAATAGATTTACTGGTTCATGTTTTTATCACTGTTTATAATGATTCACACTTTTTAATTTGCGCACTAATAAAGTGCAATACATTAAACAATGCTTAATGTTTATTTTTTTTAACAACTGGCGAAAACATTTTTTTTCAATTAGTCCATACAATTAAATTAAAATTCAGCTTTTATAGCTACTGTTAATTTCTGTTTTTTGAACTCACAGTAAAACCCGAATATGCATTTACTATTCTACACATATTATTTGTATATATATATTATTATTATAATCCCTGCATTGCATTTGAGATTCACTTGGTATGGTTTGAAAAACTTGCCGCTTGATCGATCGGTTGCCAATTGTGACTTAATAGCTAAGCACTGGAAATTTTAAATTTGAGATATATCTGGTCACACTTGGCATTCAAACTTTACCGCTCTTAAACAATATGAAATATTCTAAATTGTATGGCTATTTTTTATATTGATACTAACACCAATGTTACCGAAACAAAGCCTCCGTTGGAATTATCTTTATATGTATTACATACATATATACTATAATTTTCCTGCACTCGGCTGAGATGCACTTATTGGTTTTACTAAAGTTTCGGCTTGACCAACTGACAAGTGTGACCTAATTTGAAAGCACTGCAAATGGCAAAATATTCATTTTGCAAACGGTCACACTATTGTTTACATGCGCTGTTGCGCTTTGCACACATGAATTACAGTGGTGGCAATTATAAAATACAGGTATACAGGTGTGTAAATATCGCTCATCTCAATTATATACACACATTTGTTGCGCCTCGGGAAAAATTATAAAAAAAAAGTTAAATTAAATTAAAAAAATAAACGATGGCCACAGAGGAGCATCAACGCTTGGCCAACATTGTGAAGAGCTGTCACGAGAGCTTAAGACAACTCACAAAATTATATGGGGCAGAGCGGGCCTGGCAGGAGCATACAGCACCCCACAATGCAGAAAAGCTGGCTGAATATGCAGATGCAATGCAGCAACTTGCAGGCATATGGGAAACGAACACCAGTAAGACGGAATTGCAAGCGCGTAGTCGCATCAAATGGGCCATTGACTATATTACCAAGTACTTCTATACCGAGGGCATCTATCTACAAAAGCGACAGCGAGAGCAACGCTTGCTAGCCTCCTACAATGAGCTGGCGGCTTCGGAATGCGCCTACATGGCTGAGCCGCCAGACAGGGTGCGGGTGCTGGACGTAGGCAGCTGCTTCAATCCCTTTGGAAATACACCACATCTCGAGGTGACAGCCATTGATCTCTGTCCCGCACCTGGAGCTCTAGTACTGCAGGCAGACTTTCTCACAGTGGGCGTGGACGCCAGCTTGAAGCAACCGGAGATAACCGATCAAAGCGTGAAAAGCTTACCTGCTGGCTACTATCATTGTGTCATATTCAGCCTCCTGCTAGAGTATATGCCTAGTGCGGAGCAGCGTTTGATCTGTTGCCAGAAGGCCTACGAACTGCTGGGTCCGGAGGGAATTCTAGTCATCATCACGCCCGATTCACAGCACGTGGGAAAGAATGCTAGCATCATGAAGAACTGGCGATTTGCTCTGGCCAAGCTGGGCCTGCTTCGCGTGCGGTTCGAGAAGCTGCCCCATATCACATGCATGGTCTTTCGTCGAGCAATTAGTCAGCATTTGTCGCAGCACTGGGCGAGCGTGCACCGCGAGGAGGGCATCTGTGAGACGATTCGCATTCCACAGGACGATCATTAAATAGCCATAATCTCTTAACTGTAATCTATGAATGTGTACTTGTATCAGCTTTATATTTATGAGTTCTTTCTTTCTTAACTATTTCTAAATATGACATAAATAGTTACTTAAATACTATTACTATTGTTGCAGTTGTTTGTTTCCTGATTCTGGGTAGAAGCAGAGGTGGACTCAGCGGTTTGTCGCTTCTTCATGGCCGTTGTGGCACCCACTGCTTGTTGCATTATGTTCGGTGGCAGTGGCTTCTTGCGATCCGCCTCCCATTCGGCACGATGCAAGCGCTGCCGATGCTTGTACATGTTGGCATTCGAGAAGAACGTCTGCGGGCAATTCGGACAGGTGTACAGAACCTCGCCTGTGTGCGTAGACGTGTGCTCCTGCAATACACATAGATAAATAAGCAAAGATTCATTGAGTTTGCTTTGCTTGAATTATCCACTTACTCTTAAGTCCTGTGGCCTCTTGAACGCCTTCTCGCACATAGTGCATCGAAACTTTCGCTCGCACTGATGATTGTGGTATATATGGCGTTTGAGCGCTCGCGAATTCGTGGACTTCTTGTCACAGATGTGGCATCGATGCTCACCACCAGGCGGTTCATGCACCGTGCTCATGTGCTGCTTAAGCCCTGACAAGTGGCGCAGCCAAGTGCCACATATTTCGCATTGCACGGGATCGGGCTTGGGTCGTGGCTTATCGGAATGCTCCAATTCATGGTGTTTCTTAAGGTTCGCCTGAGAGCGCAACGTCTTGCCGCACTTATCGCAAATTATGGCAGTTTCTGGATCATGCATATAGCGTAAATGTTCCTTGAGCTTCCGTTCCGTGGGCACTCTGTAAAAGGCAAAAACAAGGCGTTTAGTATTACGTATAAACTCTAGCTCAAAGTTAACCAACTTCTTATTGCACTCTGGGCAGGTGTATTTGAAATCCGACTTGGGCACATGCTTGGACACATTGTGATACTCCACAGCAGCCTTTGTAGTAAAGCATTTGGGACATTTATCACATTGATACATGCGTTTATCCTTTGCATCCGATTGCGGATTCGTGTGCGTTTGTTCGTGCGTCTCGAGTGTTTTGGAATCTTGGAATATGCGACCGCATTGTGTGCACATAAAGTGCTCAGGATTCTTGTGGACCAGAACATGTTCGGCCAATGCGCGGCGTATGTGAAATTTGCGACCACAGCAGGCGATAAATCCACTCTCAATGTTGTGGGACATGCGCTGATGGCGACGCATGTCCCCGAAATTGGGCACCAGTAGATTACAGACATGACATGGCAGCTTCTTGAAGAAATCAAATATGATCTCATCGAACTCGTTTTGTTGCGCTTTCCGCTTCTCAATCTCCTCGCGGCTCATTCGAACAGGTGGAATCAGAGGCTTAGGACGTTTACGATACTTCTTCGGCTTGACTACAACACGTTTGGGTATCTCTGCATAGCGTTCCTCTGGCTCAATGTCCGGCAAACTGTTGCCCGAGTCGGTGTCGCTGCTTTCACTCGAGCTGGCGCTATCCTCAGTTCCCAGCACTGCCTCCGCAGCCACAAAGTCCATGTCATTGTCATTGTCATCTTCGGAGTCCTGCTCGTTTTTCATGCAGCTGGTCGGCGATGCCGGCGGTGTTTTTGACCGTCGTCCACGTCGCGAACTGCGACGTAACTGATGTCCTTTGACAGCCTTCGGTGCAGATGCTTTTTGTTCCAAAAACTCCGCTAATGGTATGTCGCCATCGGAATCACTGCCGACGGTAGACTGTTCGTTTTTAATGCGTCGCTTAGCACTCGCTGGATACTCAGTACTTGCTCTTTTTGCAGCTGAGCTCTTCTCCTCCAGTAACTGCTCTTCGAGCATTTCCAGCTTTGGCAGCGGCTCGAGTTCGTTCACCTCCACTTTGACATCGCCAGTGGCAAAGAAATCCTCAGCCAGTGCATCTAGTTCACCGCCAAATGCCAATGGATTTGCTGCCTCCGATTCGTCACAAAACTCAATGTGCACATTCTTCACGTCGCAGCGTCTCTCCTGATGGGCATTGTAAACTCGCTGATAGAATTCATTGAAGCTGCTCACGCACTCCCAGCATTGGCGACATATTTGTGCATGCTCACCAGTTGCGCTGCTCAACTGCAAATAGTTTGCAAATGAAAAAGGAAAAGCGCTACTAAGTAAAATATTGGCGCCTTTACCTCAAGCCAAAAATGTTTGTTTATTGTTTGGCAAATGTTAAGCCGCACACCAAGCTCGGAGAATATTTGATAGGATTCAGCATTGTTGCAGCAGCGAAAACAAAGCACACACGCTGCCATGGCCTTGTTCTACTGTTGTTTTTTTTTTTGCGCTTATGCAGCCGCCATTCGTTTATAGCAAAAAGAAATTTGTTTAAAACCAAAAAAAAAACAAATTGTTTTCTATTTGTTGACAGTGGACAGATATATGGAGGTTGGCTGATAACTTGCTATCGATTTCTTTCGACAGTGTGTGCACTTTCGTTAAATGTTTGCCATCACGCGACGGTCACACTGTTGGCAATTCAAATACATTTACGATAAACAGCAGCCAGTACATTTCCAACGGTCGTGCGGTGTGGTTGTAGTCTATGATGCTACTCTATTGTCGGCAAACAATAATTTGAAAAGGAAAAGACTTTCTAGTGCTAAAGAATACGCAGCAAACAATAATGTAAACAAAAAGATAACACAAATACAATAACTACTTGTAGCCAATTGAAATAACAAAGAAATAATAGCGTAATTTCGCATTTGCCTAGTCAGCTTAATAACTACATAAATATATGTAATTGAATGAAACGCTTTTTGTGTGTGTTTTTTTATGTTTATTGTTGCTGTTTTTGTTTGTCTGTCTGCAAAAATTAACACTCGACTCACTGCCAATTTTCATTGCCTGCTAATGGCTAAAATAACTTGTTAGTTATTACAAAATTTGACTGGAAGTGTGTTATGAAAGAGTTTAGCTAAATATACTTCCTTTATTTAGCCTGTGGAGTATTCACTATATACAAATCTATATTTCCTTTACTTCCACTGTTGCTGTTACAGTTGACTTGAACTTGAGCCAATTCAATTGTTTAATAACAGCTGCTTTGCAAAAGCATTTTATAAACAATTTCATGACGCATGCAACAATCGACTTCCTTTGTTGCACCTTTTACTTTTTTTTATGAATGAATGAATGAATGCGCAATATTCACCTGTTCGTGCGGTAGTTGCCACCCAACTAGTTGCAGTAGCATTTGCTGCTGCGGCATGCCACATGCATTTGCCACTTACAATACAGCTCTATGTGTGTGGCAGCCAGCTCGTTTCGTTTCGCATCGCATAGCCTGCTTTAGTCTGGTTTTTTTCTCAATACCCTTTATTTATTGATGAAATGGGAAATGGGAAAAGGGTATATGAGTTCTTGTTAGAAAAAGAGCTAAAGGGATGAAAAGGAAAGAGAAAAGTGAACGGATAGATAAATCAATAGAAAAGCAAAGAGCAGAAATGAGATGAAAAAAACTATAGAGAAGAGAACACACAAGAGAAAGAGAAAGAGGAGAGAAGGCACTCGAAAAGTAGAAGAACAGAAGAAAGGTCATGAGGCAAGAAGAGGAAACAAAAGAAGAGAAGAGAAGAAAAAAAGAAGGGTCAAAAAGGTAATAGGAGAAAAGGTAAAGGAAATAGGAAGATAAAAGCAAAAGATTATAAAAAGAAGATAAGAAAAGATGACAATAGAAGATATGTGTAGAGCAGATAACACATTAAATGTAAAGAAGAAGAAAAAGAGATGAGATCAGGGGACTAGAGACCTTGGTCAGGGTATCTACAAGTCAGGCACTGCCGACTAGAGACTGTTACTAGTTTTTACCAATTTTCTTTTACGTAACACTTAGCCAAGGCACGAGCCAACCTACTTTAAGTATGTATATATATGTATATATATATAGTTTTTTGTGTTTATTTGAAAGAGCATTTCATTTTCACTCTGCACAAATTTGTTGCACTGGACAAAGTCAAGCTTGAGCCGAGCACGTTTTTATTATCGCACATTTCTACCACGGAATATTAATAGGTACATCGACCAGCGACAATAAAACAGCAAAGCAAAAAGCAAGCAACAAAAACAAAAACAAAAACAAAAAAAGGAAATGAAAATTTAGCTGCTGCGTTCATTGGCCAACTGACATCCAAAAACCAGAGGCTCCACTGTGCATAATCAAGTGAATCGAATCGTCAAATAAATTAAGCATTCTAAGCAGAACAATCAAAGCCGAGAAACTGTGCCAAACTGTGCCCTAATACATGCCCAGATATACTCCATTTGCAAACATGCATCAACTGAAATTTTGCACAATTTCGCGTATTTGGCTTTTGTCAAGCGTTTTATTGCTATTCACATTTGTGGAAGAGACAAAGGCTTATGGATTTGGACGTTGCCCGAAGTATCCATCCATGCCAAAGTTCAATATGAGTCGAGTAAGTTACCCTCACATATTAAACAAATAAGCAATAAAGCAAAGTGTTTATATACAGTAAAATATGCATTAACGAACAGCCTTATTTAGTTGAGCTCACTGGTTGTTGGACTCTGCAAAACTATATTAAATTCCCACAAAAGAAGAAGAAGAAGAAAAGTAAAGCAGTGCACAATTTCTGTGTAAATACGCAGGCAGAAAGGGGCGTGGACGAAGCCTTATATACTTCATCAGAATCAACCTTGAAGTCTATAGTCGCTTTCCTTCATGCGTCTTGCTGTCTGTAGAGTCGAAAATTATTGCATTTTTTTACTAGAAGAAGTAACCTTCGTACGCCTCGACCCTTAGCCATCTTCGAACACTTTTCATACTCTTTGCAAAACCTAGATTCGATTACTCATGAAGCGAAATGCCTGGGGCATAGCCCATCCCAAGCGCGGCGCCTCTAAACATTCCTTCAACTGAGACTTGCTAAGTTAATTAACACTCTCGCAGATAGAGTTCTCACGAAGTTCTTCTCTCATCCATCGCTCTGCTACCATTCAAACTCTCTCGCTACGACTTGGCCGTTCGCCCTTTGGCAGATTTCACTGTATGGTTTTGGCATATTTGCCAAATAATAACAAAAACCAAAACAAAAAGATGTGAAATTTTCCATTAATGACCACAAGGCGTCGCTTGTTGTGTTTGCTTTGTTTCGTTATAGATTGTGCATAAAGTTGAACTTGAACCAATTTTTAAAGTCTGCAACAATGTAAAAGTGCAAACCAGTTTACAGCCAAGCGGCCATAAAAGCTTTATACATTTTATAAGCACATCCACATATAGATATATAAGTTTTTATACATTTATATGTCTATATTTATTTGGCTGACAAACAATTCAATTCAACTTCTTTTAGCGCAGTCAAGAAGCCACTTCAAGACTTCAAGGACGGCCCCGATGGGAGCAAAGATCACAGAGATCTCTGCTGCTGCTGCTACTGCAGTTGTTGTTGTCTGCTGACTGCTGTCTGTCGTTGAGCAAACTAGAAAACAGCTTAAATCAATTTAGCTGGCCAATTATATTAATCATACGCCTAGTGCAGCGAGCGAGATTTGAACCTACGAACACATTTAGCTGGCCGCCTTGAGGCGCACTCAAAGTTCCATTCGCGCGCTTTGGAAACGCAACAAATTACCATATCCACATAGCATAATAAACTAGTGAGAGTTAACAAAGCGAGCCGAAGCAGCGCCCAGCTGCTTAGAGATGGGTGCGACTGAAGGCTGAAGAGAAACAGTCAGCAGTAGCAATCCATAGACAGCTAGAGAAGTTCTAAGTCAATTCCATTTAATCTCTTCCAAGACTGAAGAGTGACAGTCAGCCTATGAATAGCAAAAGAAGTTCTTAGTTGATTCAATTTTAATTTCCTTCTGCTAGCTACTAAATAAGTGAAAGGAAGAGCATGATAAAGCATATCGCTTCCACTTTCGAAACTTCTCTTGACATATTAATGCCCTGCGTGTTATCTCGTGCATGTTGCGTGTCACGTTATCCGCTTTAGCTGCTGCGGCTGCTGCTGCATTTGACTCTCTGTTGTGGCCCCTAATTGGATGATAAGTCTTCGTCGCCTTCAATTGAGCTGCTGATAAGTTCGCTTTGACATGATTCGGCTCAAGCGGGGAGCAAAGACCTCGAGCTTAAGAATAATTATGCAGCGACGGCCTTAATGACTGGCAACTAGTAGTTAGCAGTTAGCAGTTAGCAGTTAGCAGCTATCAGTGGCAGCGGCTACTGGGCAGTGCCTGAGAGCAGCCGCAAAAACCAGTTTACGAAAACAAAATGAAATAAATACAAAAATACTTGAAATGTTTATGTTTTACGCAGCGACCGAAGGCAGTTATTTATTTCTCTTCTCTTTTTTATTTTTATTTTGAATCATTTTTTTGCTTTTGTTTAATAGTAACCCAGTTAAATGCTGACTCATCGGCGTACAAAGAGAAACGCAGCTTGAAATTCTTATTGAAACTAAATTATTATTTTGGACCAGCTACGCTCTTTTTATAGATAACTTAGATAACTTCATAGACCACCCACTGTCTTATCGATGTCATATCTAAAAGAATTTATATTTTCATTTCTATTTCTCACAGGTACTCGGCCACTGGTACGAGGTGGAGCGCTCTTTCTATTTGCCAGAAATCGCCTCCGGCTGCACCACATTTGAGTTTCAGCCCTACAGCAAAGCGGAGCTCTCCAAATTTAATAATTTTAAAGTGGAGGTGGCAATCAAGACTGTCAATCGCATGTGAGTAGAAGGAGAGAGCTGAGATCTGGGCTAAGAGAGAAAGAAAGAATGGGAAATAGAAGAAATAGAGATAATTTGAGAAAGAGGGGACGAAACACAGTAAGAGAGAGCGATAGAGACCAATAGTGAGGCATAGGGAGTGGGTTATAAAGAGGAACTCAGAGATATTGGAAAATAAAAGACAGAGTTAAACAAAGAGCGAGAGATAGAGAGAGAATGACTTAGAAGAACAAATTGAGAGAGATACAAAGAGATACAGTAGAGATAGAGAGAGAGGTAGGTAGAAAGAGAAAGTGAGCGAGTGAGAGAAAGAGAGATAGACAGACACAGAGATAAATAGAGAAATAGATACATATATATTTATTGGGGCAGAGAAAGGGAGAAAGAGAAAAAGAAAAATGAAGATACAGAGAAAAATCTAGAGTAACACTGAAAAAAGAGCGGAAGAGAAACCTAAACGTATTCTTGAGTGAGAGATATAGAGAAATTTGATGGAAGGGAACAAAAGCAACAAATAAGAAAAGAGATAATCCGGGAAAAAGGCGGAAAGAATCAGAGGAGAAGGGAGAACAAGAGAGAGCCGCTTAAGAAAATGTGTTTATCAAGACTTTTATAAATTTGTTCTCATTTTTTAGTACTGGCAATCCGAATGTGAATCTGGGCTATGCCACGCCAGAGAACAGCAAGTCCTCCATTATGGACTTTAAGGTAAGTCTACCAAATATTTTCATTCATATACCATTGGTGGGGCTGTGCTGCATATGATAATCATTATCATCATCATCGAAATTGCTAATTATCACTATAAACAAACCATCGCAGTTCAACACACGTTTTCCGGAGGTGATTGCCCGTCTACTGCCCGGCTCCGGCAAGTACCAGGTGCTCTATACTGACTATGAGAATTATGCCATCCTGTGGTCATGCGGCAGCATCGGATCGCTTGGCCATGCGGATCAGATTTGGATACTGGGACGTGAAACGGACTTTGTCGTGGAGATACGTGAGAAGATCTACGATGTGCTCAAGCGACTGTCCCTCGACCCGGAGCGGCTGGTGCTCAGCAAAAACACCAACTGCCCCAAAATCAACTAATATATATATATATACTAATATGTATACAACTGAATGAGAGAGAGGTAGGTAGAAAGAGAAAGTGAGCGAGTGAGAGAAAGAGAGATAGACAGACACAGAGATAAATAGAGAAATAGATACATATATATTTATTGGGGCAGAGAAAGGGAGAAAGAGAAAAAGAAAAATGAAGATACAGAGAAAAATCTAGAGTAACACTGAAAAAAGAGCGGAAGAGAAACCTAAACGTATTCTTGAGTGAGAGATATAGAGAAATTTGATGGAAGGGAACAAAAGCAACAAATAAGAAAAGAGATAATCCGGGAAAAGGCGGAAAGAATCAGAGGAGAAGGGAGAACAAGAGAGAGCCGCTTAAGAAAATGTGTTTATCAAGACTTTTATAAATTTGTTCTCATTTTTTAGTACTGGCAATCCGAATGTGAATCTGGGCTATGCCACGCCAGAGAACAGCAAGTCCTCCATTATGGACTTTAAGGTAAGTCTACCAAATATTTTCATTCATATACCATTGGTGGGGCTGTGCTGCATATGATAATCATTATCATCATCATCGAAATTGCTAATTATCACTATAAACAAACCATCGCAGTTCAACACACGTTTTCCGGAGGTGATTGCCCGTCTACTGCCCGGCTCCGGCAAGTACCAGGTGCTCTATACTGACTATGAGAATTATGCCATCCTGTGGTCATGCGGCAGCATCGGATCGCTTGGCCATGCGGATCAGATTTGGATACTGGGACGTGAAACGGACTTTGTCGTGGAGATACGTGAGAAGATCTACGATGTGCTCAAGCGACTGTCCCTCGACCCGGAGCGGCTGGTGCTCAGCAAAAACACCAACTGCCCCAAAATCAACTAATATATATATATATACTAATATGTATACAAACTGAATTAAGTATAATATTGAATCTATTTAGGTTTCTGTGATATCGCAAAGCTCGAGCTTCGCGTCTTTGTTTTGCGAAACAAATATATATACTATGAATATATGTGAAAAGTGATATTTGCGTGGGTTTTCAGAACAGAAAAGTTCAGATTTGCCAATTATTATAGAGACTCTAATTAATTTGATATATATATATGTAAAACTTGCCAATCCACAAATTGGGAAAACATCTTTTTTTAGTCGCAATACGAAAGGGAAACAAGTTGGAAGTGTTCTGAAAATGTCGAAGTTGTGGCTCTTGTTGCTTATATCTTTGCTTATAAATATGCTGCAGATGTCATCTGCACGAGGAGGAGGAGGGCATGGCGGAGGAGGGCATGGCGGAGGAGGGCATGGCGGAGGAGGCCATGGTGGAGGAGGTCGAGGAGGTGGTCGTGGAGGCTTTGGAGGCGGAAGACCTGGTGGCTTTGGTGGCGGAAGACCTGGTGGCTTTGGTGGCGGAAGACCTGGTGGCTTTGGAAGACCTGGCTTTGGAGGACCTCCTAGAGGTGGCTTTGGAGGACCACCCAGAGGCATCAGAGGTGGCTACGGTGGCTATCGAGGAGGCTTTAGACCCTATGGCTATGGTGGCATAGGACTAGGCGTGCTGCCACTGCCCGTGCCGGTGCCTGTGAGCTATCCATGTCGGCGCGCATATCCCTATGACTACTACTACGACGATTATTACTGTTAGATGGAAAGATAGCTCTTGGTTTGATTATGAAAGTTATATTATACAAATTACATTAACATTTTCAGTTACAAGATTATTATGTAAATGTCCTAAGAAATTGAGGCTGTAGACAGTTCTCTAAATATTTGATATTTTCATATTTATATAGATAGATTCGTAGATTCGTAGATTCATAGATTCCTTATTGTTTTGATGGTCTTCGGTGTTTATTTGTTTGTTTCATATTCGTTTGCATGGACCGGTCCCAAGTGTTTGCGCTTAAGTCTAAATAAAAACCGATTGCAATTCAATCCACAATGCATGTATATATATATATATATATATATATATGTATATATGTATGTATTTTTGTATATATTGTTAGTGAATTAAACTTAGGTGTCTACGGACTAGATATGAGATACGAGTACCAATAAATAATGGCTGACTTGTGATGCATTCGTTGTGTTAAAGTAAATATATCGTAATTATTATAATAATAAGTTATCGTACTTAATGCAAATATGGAGTGCTTTGGATATCATGCAGTAACTAGCAAAAGATAATGGCATACGGGAAATGAGGTCGGAACTGAGGAAGTTCTCAAGGGGAAGCCGTCAAGGAAACATGCCAAAAAGTTTATACAAAAACAAATAAGAATTCCAAAGACTTGTGTGAGCTAAGAAACTATTTTGTTTAACTCCGTACATTGATTATATTACTGCTAAGTTAAGTCTGTGTATGTGTGTGTGTGTGTGGGTGTGCGTGTGCGTGTGTATGCTCCGGAAGACAGTCTGGAGAGCATTGAGTTTACGGATACGGATACGGATTCGTTGAGATGATGTGTTCAAACAATGACGGAATTTCGATTTCGTTTTCGATTTGCTCAGCCTATAGCATCGCCTTGCACTCGCTCTCAGCGATGCTGTGCTGAATGCAATGACTGATCTCCGCAAAGCCAGGTCGTTCGCTTGGCTTGCTGTTCCAGCAGCGCCGCATTAGAGCGTAAACGGAGAGCGGCGTATTGTCCGGACAGCCGAGCACATTGCCCTCCTTGATGTACTTGATGACCTCGGCGTGCGTCAGCCCAAAGTAGGGCTGCAAAGCAAAGGAGAAGATCTCCCACAAGCAGATGCCAAAGGCCCACACATCCGACTCCAGGGAGAACTTATTGTACAGTATGCTCTCGATGGGCATCCAGCGTATGGGTATGACATCGTTCTCATCGCCCTTGTAGTAGTCCTGCAGATAGATCTTGTGCGAGAGACCGAAGTCCGCTATCTTCACGGTCATTTGCTCGTTGATGAGGCAGTTGCGCGTGGCCAGGTCGCGATGCACGAACTTGCGTTCGGCTAGGTAAAGCATGCCCGAGGCCACATCCGAGGCCATGTGGAGTAGCTGCAGCTCCTCTAGCTGTTGGCGATTGCGCGGCTGGGCTTGATGTGTGGCATAGGGAGAGCAGGCGCGCAGAAATTCACTCAAGTCACCCGGCGACATGTACTCGAAGAGCAGACACATGGGACGCCCCAAGGCGCAAACGCCCAATAGCTTCACAATGTTCGCATGATCGAACTCGGCCAGAAGGCAGGCCTCGCGTTCGAAGTCCGTTTGCATTTGATCGCTGGCGTCGTCTTTCAGCATTTTGACAGCCACCAGCAGCTCCTCATTGCCAGGCACCAGACCCGGCGCCTTGGCCTGAAAGACACGTCCGAAAGCGCCTTGGCCCAACGAGCGCACATAGACAATCTCTCCTCGCGGATATTCCAGCTTCTCCAGCCGTGCGTTCAGCTTCGTCTTCGGCTCCTGCTGCACCGCAGCTGTCGTCGTCAGCATCACACAGTTGACGCTGTGTATGGTCGCAGTGCTGCGTATGGTGCCACACTTGATGCTCGTGGGCGCAAAGCCAGTGGAGCCGAGTGTTTCCCGACTGGCTGACAAATTGGCGCTGCACTCCCCATGCACAGCCTGCGACTGTGGCTGCGCGTAATCCTTGGGCTTGGACAGCTTGTAGGCGAGCAGTATAATCAGATGCAGGGCCACAATGCCCAGGAAGCCAATGCCAGCGAGAAGAAATATCATCGAGGGCGTAAAGAACTCCTCCATTTTAATGGGCGTACTCAGATCCTTGGCACTCGGGTCCACATAGTCAGCTGCAAAGGCAACAGATTCATTTAGCTACATTTCAGAGTAACGCAATCGAGATAAACCTACGACAAAGTGGTATATCGCAATGCTGCCAGCGCACAGATTCATCTAGGGTGTAGCACCAGGGATGGGGCTCCTCGCCGCCTGCATTGCGGCAATAGTTCTCGCCCTCAGTTAGCTGCTGAAATACCAGAGGAGGCTGTATGTGCTTATGCGGATACTGTGTATCCCAGCGCTGGCAGGGTATGCCCGACTTGGTCACATTCATGCTGCCCAGATAATAACGTCCGTTGCCATTGCGACAGTCATCTAGAAAAGCGACGATATTAGTGCAAATCCAGGAAAGGCGAGCCTCTGGGCGTTGCTACTTACAGCTAACCTCCGACTCCTTGATCTCGGTCAGACCTATGTACGAGCAGCTGGGCCAGCGCATGCTGGCATCATATTGAGGTAAAGCTGTACAATTGGGCAGTCGAAAGTGTGCGCGACTCTTGAGGTACATATTGCGTTCCCGCTTCTCCTCAATCAAGACCCAATCATTGTAGCAGAACTGCAAATGCGTTGCCTGGCAATCCTCGAAGCAGAGCGGCGCCTTGATGGCTCGGCCATTCTCAACGTGACAGCGTGGAAAGGCATAAGCACAAAGCATTTTCTGCAACGAAAGAGAATGACAACTTAGTCTCTTGAGCATGGGAAGTGCATTGGCCTACCTCGGCTGCCTCGCGACACAGTCCGCTCAAGTCAACAATTAGCTCGTCCCAGAGTGCTGTGGTGATCTGCTCATTGCGCCAGCCGCCCGACGGATCCTCCAGGCTATACCACACCGGCCCAGTGATGAACTGTTTGCACACCTTGCCATTGTACGGTGCACAATAGCCCTTCTCCTCTCGCTCCCGCTCGTACTCGCTGTTGTGGTGTCGCTGATGGTGGCGTCTCGCCGGCTCTTCTATGTCGATGGCATTTTGGGAATTACCGTTTGCTTCGCATGTAAACAAAAACACGCAAAGCCCAACAAACACATACACAAAACTTTCAATATCCCTAACCAGCATGGCTGCCCTGTGTGTGTGTGTGTGTGTGTGTGGGTGGGTGTGGGTGTGCGTGTGTTTATATCTCTGTATATGTAAATACTTTTAGATGCAGCTTTTGTGTGCGCCTTGCGCTTTTGTTTGCTTCCACTTTACAATTTGCCAATAACTTCAATCGCCCTCTTTTAGGCACCCTCTAAACACATTTGCGCACACATTTTCAGAGATTTGTCTATTATTTTGAGCACTTTTGAAGATGCTGGTGAAACTCAAATAGTAAAAATCGGGAGGCGCATCGAACTGTATACGCCGTACGCTCGCCTCTGTCGACGCCTTTTTCCAGAATACCACCAAAAAGTTGGGTTGACAGCCCAATTGGGGGAAGCGTCCCCATAGGGGTGGTTTTTATGCACAGGCAACAACAAGAACAGGGTTGTTTCTTGCGTCCAGTTTATTCCAGTTGTTTACAAAGCTCAACAACATAAATCATTATTTCAAATAAACTTAAAATTAGTTCTGTTCTTGACTTTTTATCTTCTCTTCTTTTTTGATTTCACCCTCTTTCTCTTTCTTCTTTTCTGCGTCATCTTCATCTTGTACTGCCTCCAGACCCTGAAATTAAATTAACTCAAGCATCGATAGCAGAAACTCTAAAACTCTACAAAAATACTAATTGAATAATATATTTCAAATTTTAACTTTAACGTCAATTCAATTTCGTTTTGTAAATTTATTATTCACTTTTTGCACTTAAGCTTAACAGAATTTCAACTAGATTTACATTTACTTCCTATCCTCATCTGGTATAGCGTGAAGACCCTGTAAGAGAATGAAACATATTCTCGAGTTTTCAAAATATTGAAGCGCAACTTTTAATGATTATTAGGCAGTGCGGGCAACATAAGGGTTAAATGAAGAAGCATGATCTTGATCGACATACGTTCAGGAAATTATAATTATAATAATGGGATTTGTTAAATCTTGGCGAAACATGAAATTAGTTAGGAAATTCGTGCAACATGTGGATTAAATCAAGAATAATAGTTATTAGTTATCGAAACGTTGCAAGATAATTAGTGAAACTTAAGTATTAAGGGAAAATGTTATATTAAATGATCACAGAGATTATTATGGGTTTAAATATTACTAAGCGATTAAATGTATATGTTTGCATGTTACAAACATAAGGAAATAAAATGAGATCAACAAAATTATACACAAATGTACCAGGTAGACTGCTGCTTGGCGTGCATACGAAACTAATATTAGAGATATCACTTACGTTCATAATGTAGGGATTGTCGGTCAGTCGGAAATCGCGCTGATACATAACACGGTCGAAGCGTTCGTCCATATTGCGGCGGTAGGCCTACAAGCAACCAAATAACAAATTATAATAACACAATAGCTGAGAGTGTGTGTGCGTGTGTATGTTGTTTCAGATAGAATTTCAATGCATTTGACTACTCTAAAAACGCGTCTCTAAATTATGTTTTTCAAATTACGTCTAGTGCACAATCAACGTAGAGTATTATATAAGAATTTTTTGTTATTCCAACGAGCACTTACATTTCCCAATGTCAGCTTCTGCAGACCATACATTGCGTATATGGGCACGGAGAGTGCCACGGTAATGATTCCGGCGGCTGGTAAGATTTCGAACCACATTTTGACTGTGACACCAAATTTATTGTGTTATTTTGCAATTAAAAAAACACTGCCAAGTGTTAAAGAGACGGACAGCTGTTATATTCGATTGTCTATCGATGTATCGATAGACCCAAACAATAATGACATTAGATTTTACATGAAATTATAATCAGAGTGCAATTCACTTCTGTATTTTAAAAGGCGTCGCCTAACTAAAAGAATTGTTTTCTTTCGAAACTAAACTATTCACGGCTTAAATAAACGAAGTTAAATTTCGATAAATACCTTGTCAGGCGTTGCGACACTGTTAACTTTAAGCAGCTGAACTGTGTGAAAGTGTGGCAACGCAAAAACCCCTAAAATACACACACGTATGCAAAGAGAACCCGAATTACCGCAAAATCATTCTATTAAAGGTGCAACAAAGCTAGAGCGCAGGCAACATTCATCGTATCAAGAACGCGAAGAGAAGAATAACGTACTAAGTGCGCGCATCGATCAAATCCAACAAAAGACAAATCATACAAAAGACTATACTACGTTGAGAAACGACAGCAGAGAAAATAATTTATTCGAGAACATGGCTAGCAACTTAAGCGGCATTGTCGAGTCATCATTTCCTACGGCAGCTTTGGTACGCGAAAATATTATATTGGCTGTGGGAAGATTTATACGAAATTGTTATTATTTTGATGTTAGGTGCCGAAGGCTGAGACTGGCGTGCTGAACTTCTTGCAGAAGTATCCAGACTACGATGGTCGAGATGTAACAATCGCCATTTTCGATTCTGGTGTAGATCCCCGTGCAACGGGGCTTGAAGTAAGTACCTGTCAAAAACATCAGTTGACATTTTCAGTTATTTTTATTATTTATTTAATAGACTTTGTGCGATGGCACAACGGTGAAAGTGATCGAGCGATTCGACTGCTCGGGCTGCGGCGATGTGGATATGACCAAGAAGTTGATCCCTAATGAGAATGGAATTTTGAAGGGCTTGTCTGGTCGTTCGCTCAAGTTCAGTCCCGAGCTGCTGGCCCTCAACACGGACAAGGAGCGCGCAGTGCGCGTTGGCTTGAAGAGTTTCAACGATTTGGTACCAGCCAAAGTGCGCGATAATATTGTCGCCCAAGCTAAGCTCAAGAACTGGGACAAGCCACACAAAACTGCCACGGCGAATGCCAGCCGAAAGATTGTAGAATTTGAGTCTCAAAATCCAGGTTAGTCAACGGTAATTCAATTGCTGAATACTTAAATAAATAATCTGCTCTGCAGGTGAAGCGGCTAAGCTGCCCTGGGACAAGAAGATAGTCAAGGAGAACCTGGACTTTGAATTGGAAATGCTCAACAGTTATGAGAAGCTGTACAGCGAGGTGAGGACCTCCTATGACTGCGTACTTATGCCAACTGAACAGGGCTGGCTTACCATCATTGATACCACAGAGGAGGGCGATCTGGCTAAAGCATTGCACATTCGCGAATACACCAAGACGCACGAGACGAAAAATGTTGATGATTTCCTCTCAATTTCGGTCAATGTTCACGACGACGGCAATGTGCTGGAACTTGTGGGCATGTGCTGTAAGTAGAAGTAGTCTATCAACAACTAGTCATCAACTAAAGTTTTTCGTTTGTCAATCGACAGCTCCTCATGGCACTCACGTCGCTTCTATTGCCAGTGGCAATCACAAGTCGAGAGACATTGATGGAGTTGCGCCCAATGCTAAGATTGTGTCCATTACCATTGGCGATGGTCGTTTGGGCTCAATGGAAACTGGTACGGCGCTTGTTCGTGGCATTATGAAGGTGATGGAGTTGTGTCGCGAGGGTCGGCAGATCGATGTGATCAACATGAGCTATGGCGAGCACTCGAACTGGTCTAACTCCGGGTAAGCAATGGCTACCATGTAGCAGCTAGAGCATGACAATTGTCATTTTTAGCAAGATTGATGAACTCGAGAAAAAGCGTAGAAGAATCAAGATAAGGTCGCTGAGGTAAATCTGTTATTCGATTCAAACTCATGCCCAACTCCTGTTTACACTTCTCTTACTCGATAGTAACACCATTAATTTTGTTGGCTTAGGTTGCTAAACTATCTGAGTGTTTGTCACACTTTAATTGTTACTCTCCACTTCTTTGCAGTCGCATTGGTGAGCTGATGAACGAGATTGTCAATAAGTACGGCGTTGTCTGGGTTGCTTCGGCAGGTAACCATGGACCAGCTCTCAGCACAGTTGGTACTCCTCCTGACATCAGCCAACCCAGCTTGATAGGTGTGGGCGCCTACGTTTCGCCACAGATGATGGAAGCCGAGTATGCGATGCGCGAGAAGTTGCCTGGCAATGTTTACACCTGGACATCACGCGACCCCTGCATCGATGGCGGACAGGGCGTAACGGTGTGCGCACCAGGAGGTGCCATAACATCCGTGCCGCAGTTCACCATGAGCAAGTCGCAGCTGATGAATGGTACGAGCATGGCAGCACCTCATGTGGCTGGTGCAGTGGCTTTACTCATTTCCGGGCTAAAGCAGCAGAAGATAAAGTATTCGCCCTATAGTATTAAGCGGGCTATAAGTGTCACGGCAACAAAGCTCAACTATGTGGATCCCTATGCACAGGGCCACGGACTACTGAATGTGGAGACGGCATTTGAGCATTTGGTTGAGCATCGTCATTCTAACGACAATATGTTGCGGTAAATAGACCTTTCCTTCGACATGGATTTCAATCATTTTTGATTTTTTGTTCCCCCTGGTCGTTGCAGATTCTCTGTGCGCGTGGGCTCCAACCAAGCAAAGGGCATTCATCTGCGCGATGGCGTGCAGCGCAAGTTCATCGACTTCAATGTCAACATTGAGCCTGTCTATTTCAATGACAAGGAAGTCGGTAAGTTGTAGACTAGGCAGTTTTCTCATACACGTAATAACGGTTTTGCCTTTCCTTTAGATCCAAAGAACAAATTCAATTTTAATGTGCGCCTAAGTCTTGTGCCGTCGCAGTCTTGGGTGCAGTGTGGAACGTTTCTGGACCTTAGCTATGGAGTTCGCTCGATTGTCGTTCGAATTGATCCGACTAGCCTGCAGCCAGGTGTGCACAGTGCTGTGTAAGTAGCCCTAACTATCAAGAATATATTGTATATTAACTATTTCAACAATACAGCGTTCGTGCTTATGATACCGCCAACATACAGAAAGGTCCATTGTTTGAAATACCTGTTACGGTGGTGCAGCCCCATGTATTGGTAGACACCCAAAATACGCCCATATTTGAGCCGACTTCAAGTAGGGCGGATAAGAGCATTGAATTTCAACCCAATACGATTCAAAGGGACTTTATTCAAGTGCCGGACAAGGCTACCTGGGCAGGTGAATATATGCTAAAAGATTTTTATGTAAGTCAGCTTGAAACCTATATCTACTCTTTATAGTTCTGCGCTTGCGCCTAACTGATCCCAACCGAGGTAACGACGTTGGCAAGTTCTTCTTACACACAAATCAACTGCTGCCAAATCAATCTTGCCGTAAGCTGGAAACCATGAAGATTATTGGCGTCAATTCGGAATTTGAGGCCACGGCTACCTTCCGGGTGAAGGTGAGAAAAAATAAAGTTTATCGTCGAGTCTATTATTGAAAATCTGTCTTGCAGGCCAACAAAATACTAGAGCTGTGTATAGCCAAATACTGGTCGAATCATGGCCAGAGCCATTTGAAATACAGCCTCGAGTTTCATGGCGTGTCAGCACAAAATCCCAATGCATGTAAATACAGTCCCTTGCTCGACTCTTTCAATAATATCTGAATATCTTAACCATTTTTTGTTAGATGTCATGCACGCTGGTCGTGGCATACACAAGCTGGAAATTGGTGCACTGGTGTCCGAGGAGATTCAACCTTTGCTGCAGCTGAAGACTGCTGCTGTTGTGTTGAAGCCAACCGAGGCAAAGATCTCGCCATTGAGTGCCACTCGCGATGTCATACCAGAAGGCAGGCAGATTTATCAGAATATGCTCGTCTACAATCTTAACGTGAGCAAGGCAGGAGAGGTGGCGTTGTATGCACCACTGTTTAACGATTTGCTTTACGAATCGGAGTTTGAGTCGCAGATGTGGATGCTATTCGATATCAACAAAACGTTGGTGGCCACCGGCGACGCGCACTCGCACACTTTCTTCACAAAGCTGGAAAAGGGAGAATATACTGTGCGACTGCAGGTGCGGCATGAGAAGCGTGAGTTGCTTGAAAAAATTGCGGAGGCCAATCTCATTGCTGTCTACAAGTTGTCCAATATGCTGTCTCTCGATTTTTACGACAGCTACAACCAGAGCGTTGTTGCTGGCCGTAAAATAACATCTGCCAAAGTGCGAGAGACCAGTAAAATGCTATACGTTGCACCAATTGGCCAGGAAAAGCTCACCAAGGCCAATTTACCGGCGCAATGCGCCTGGCTGAGCGGCAATCTAATCTTCCCCAAGGACGAAGGCGGCCGTCGTATTGACCTGCATCCGTTCACGTACATACTAAATCCGGCTGAGAAGAAATCGACATCAAATGGTGCCGCTAATGGAGCTGCTGCAAACAATACCAATCCAGCAGCAGCTGCTGCTTCCACAAATGGAGTCAAGCCCAAGCCAGCTTCCACCATCCAGGGAGCCACAAGTGCTGCAAATTCAGCCGGCGGCGATGGAGTCACGCTGCAAACCGAAGTTCCCGCCAATGCTAACAGCGGCGCGCCTTGTTCGCCACAAAAGGGCAAAACAAGCGCCGACGATTATGCCGAGAGCCTGCGTGATTTTCAATGTTCGCACATTGCCAAGTGTGGTAAGTGCAAGTACCGTCTTATAAAAGCCTGTCTGGAATTATACAAATATTTTTCTTAGAACTTGAAAAGGCAGAGAAGATATACAACGATGTTGTTGCCGCACATCCCAAGCATTTGCCGGCCCATTTGCAGTTAATCCAAAACATCGAATCGAGCGAGTTGAAGACCCAGTTGCCGTTCACATTTGTGGCATCCCAACAGGACAGCAGCAAAGAGGGTGACAATGTCAATGTGGATAAGCCGAAGGAAGATCATCAGAAGCAACGTGCGGCCTTGGAGCGTATTGTCAAGCTGGCAGATATTGTAATCAAAGAAACAGATGTCGACGCCCTGCTCTCTTACTATGGTATTAAGAACGACACGCGTTCAGATGCAGCCAAAATCAAGACGTAAGTAAACGAACGTAAAGACGCACATTTAAACTTATATATAATATGATACTGTAGCAATATGGACAAACAGAAGAATAATCTCATTGAAGCCTTGGTGAAGAAGGGCATCGCACTCGCCAAGCTCTGTGTGATCGATGATAATATGAAAGATCATTTGGTTGACTTAAACGAGGTCTACACAGACATTATCAAGTTCATCGACGCCAACGATAGCAAAGCTATCCAATTCTCCATTTGGCATGCTTTTGCGCATAATCATTATGGACGCATGTACAAATACGTGACAAAGATGATTGAGGAAAAACGCACACGAGAACTCTACGAGGAGATGGCTGCCATTAATTGCGCAATGGGCTACGAGCATACAAAGACTGTCATAGATCGCATGGCTGTCAGCTTCTTCCCGGGCAGTTTCCGTTTGTTCTAAGAAGTGATCGATGAAAGTTTTTATGCAGTTAGCGAAAGTATCTTATTGAATGCACATTTTTAATCTTCTCATTGTTTTATTTGTATTGCAAAACGTGAAGTAACCATACTAAATATATATAATGTACATGAATTCAGTATGCTTCCAATTTAAAAAACGTGTTTTTATGAGTAATAAAAATTATAAGGAATTTTGGATTAACTTTGCAATGCTAAGCAAATTTGAACGCTGCAGTTAATAATGTTGGTGCTCAGCTGTTTTTCGCAAAACGTAATTATTTGTTTACATGTAAAACTCATCATGGCACTGTACATTAACAGAAAAGTGGGACCATACAATAGCATTCTATAAAGTTAGTATTTTTTATTATTGCGATTAGGTATTTTCTGCTTTATAGTTTAAGCTCACACTGGTGAAGATGCAGTACTCCCAAACAATGCACACGCAAAAATAAAATGGGTAAGATTGAGTTAAAAAGTGCAAATGTTTATTGAAAAAGTTGCTGATAGTGTAAACTAACCCCGAAGAAGAATTTGTATGATAAAAAGTGACAGTATAAAATGAAAATGAAAGAGTTTTCGATGCAGGAAAAAACTGTGTCTGCTACGTAGTTGTAGCTTCCGTGCACGTATGTATGTGAGTGCGGTATAAGTGTATGTGTGCGTACGCGTGTGTATTGACCGATCGATTTTATTTTGCAAATTCAAGGACAACTGCAAATCCTGCGGGATAGCTTGTCGGTTTAATTATAGAAGATGTAAACGGGCGGCCTTAAAAGCAACATTTACAACACATAAATGCGTCATCATTGCAGCAACTGCAACTGCAATAACAAACAGTCAAGCGGATGTGGACAGTTTCCATGGAATTTATTATCTCAATGAATGCCGAATGCCGCGTTGATGACTCAAATTGCAAATCCAGAGGTTTTTTAACGGACATTATCAACCAATCTGTGTACACACAAAACAAAAACATACATATATATGTACAAATGTGTGTATGTACATGTGTTGCGCGTTGTTTCCTTTACAAAGGCAAACAAAAAAAGACAAATGCTGCGGGTTGAGGCCAGCAGCAGCAACGGCAATCAGAATTTTGTGTCAGTGCGTGTATATATGTATATTTAAGTGTATGCGAGTGTGTGTGTGTACGAGGTGGGACTGAAAGATAAAGATATTGAAATGAAAGAATACAAATATTTTAAGGCTGCCACATGAGGGCGCCACTGCCATCAAAGTCAAACAAATGTGTTGGCGTCGTTGCTAGTGGGTGTAAAAGAAATCCATACCACCCACATACACGCACCACTCCATATACCGCACACATGCATAAAAACAGACTGGAGTGCAGCTGTTGTTGGTTCATCGGCTACGTCGCATGCATACTTAAGTTAAATGTGCATTTATAAAAACGAATTTATTTTTATATTTATATGTATCTTCTCCAGAGTGCCCACAAATTGATTTATATGAATTCCTCACCGAGTCCGAATTGCAGCAATACTACAATGCCATCAAGTGAGTTGTGTGACCCAAATAGACCATAGTGTATGTAGCAAGGTATGCTGATCACAAATGCGAGCAAATTTAAATTTCCCCATTTGTGTTAGTTAAGGGAGTCATGAAGTGCAATAAAGTTATTAGTATTTTTTAATACTTTTATTGCCATAACTTAATACCGATTCGTAGAGCATATGTATCGATATGGGTATTTTGACACCAGTGCGGCAAAAGGAAAGGGAAGAAAAGAGCATTTGTGTGATCTGCATGCAAAGCTAAGCTTTGACAAACACGTGACTCATTTAAAATTGTCGTTTGGTTCATTTGTTTCTTTTTTGTGGACCCAGAAACGAATTAAAAATAACGAATGCAGCTCAATTTAAATACGCATCAGATGAGGATTTACGTTTCATTGGCCTGTCGAGGCCGGAAATACGAAGACTGCGCAAGTTCTATGAAAAGCATTTCCCCCACAGTTACCTCAGCAAAATCAAGCGCCTGTTACAAGCGCCCGCCACTATTGTGAAGCGCGAAGATGGGGCTGGGGCTGGTGGGCAGGCAACAAATGAGAACAGCGCCGCTGCAGGGACGACCAACACAGCGACGCGCAATGGCGGCAGCAGCTCGCCGGGCAGCAAGGTGCCCAACAACAAGCACATCATACCGGCTGATTCGATTAGCGTTAATAAACAGCTGGGCATCGGGGAGTTTGGCATTGTGCAGCAGGGCGTTTGGACGAATGGCAGCGAGCGGGTGAGTACAATGTCTGAGCCCCCACTCTCAAGGGCTTCCGGTTGAATTGAGTAATTAATTTTGACTGCTGATTGCTGCACAGATTCAAGTGGCCATCAAGTGCTTGTGCCGCGAGCGCATGCAATCGAATCCCATGGAATTTCTCAAGGAGGCAGCCATAATGCATTCAATTGAGCACGAAAACATTGTGCGCTTGTATGGCGTGGTGCTGGCCACCGATTCCCTGATGCTTGTCACAGAGCTGGCCCATCTACGTTCCTTACTCGAGTGCCTTAAGGATTCCGGCTTGCGCGTCAGCTTTCTCACAATACCCACGCTCTGTGAGTTTGCGCTGCAGATTTGCAATGGCATGCGCTATCTGGAGCAAAAGCGACTGATACATAGGGATTTGGCAGCACGGAATATACTGGTCTTTAGCAAGGACAAGGTGAAGATTTCGGACTTTGGGCTATCACGAGCCCTGGGTGTGGGCAAAGACTACTACAAAACAAACTTCAATGTGAATCTAAAGCTGCCAATTGCCTGGTGTGCACCCGAATGCATCAATTACTTGCGCTTCACCAACGCCTCCGATGTTTGGGCATATGGCGTTTGCCTCTGGGAGATGTTTTCATATGGCTTTCAACCCTGGGCGGCACTGACTGGTCTACAGATACTGGAAGCTATCGACTCGCCCAATTATCAGCGCCTCGAGCAGCCTGACTGCTGTCCACGCGAATATTACACTTTAATGATGAAGTGCTGGCAGGACGATGTCGCCAAGCGGCCCAAGTTTAGCGAAATCTACGAACAACTGCCTGATATGAAGCCCGAACAGCTAAAGGCCGTTGTGAACTGCGTGGAGCCAAAAAAAGATCATTTGTTGTATCGCCAAGGCGATATCATAACTGTACTTGATCGCAACACTGGCACGCCTTTCTGGAAAGGAGTTTTGAGCACCGGAAAGACCGGATTCTTCAATCCCTCAAATACTGTCGCTTTTTTGGAGGGTCTGCCCTGCTCTTCCAATCGCGATTCTTTTAGTCGTGTCGGCGACCATCGCATTAGCAAGCGCAAATTGCGTACGGAAATGATTTCGAAGCCCCAGAATGATTTTAAGCACACCGGACATGTTGGCATTGATGGCGCCACTTTCGGCGACATTGCCTTCCTCGGCAGCTCTCAAAATGTAAATCAAATAACAAATAAGATTCTGGTTTTTACGTATGCTCACCTGTTTCTATTTCTCTTGCAGTACAATCATGTGCCCAAACAGATTGTGACGCCCTACAAACCGTCGGAGGACATTGAGCAGACGCCACTGCTGCTTCCTCCGACGCCCACCAGTCCCGACTCACTGCAAACGGCCAGCGGTTATTTCCCAGAGGGTGCCGGCACCTCTATGAATCCCACATTTATTCCCTCCACGGAGCACACGCCCAAACTAATACCTAGCAATGGGCACAGCTCATTTGACTTTGCCGGCTCCACAAATCCCTTTGCTTCTCACACTTTGGATGAGGAGCAGCTCGCCTATGCGCTGCAGAACAACAATTATGGCGCCGATGGCAAGAGCATCCACTCGGAGCCCAACTGGCGGGCCAGTTCACGTAATACGACTGACGATCCACACGAATATCACGAAATATCTGACGATGAGATTGCTGGAGATAAGCTTGACTTCGGTCCCTCGCTGTTGGATGAGATCAACTCGATGTTTGGCTCAATTAGCGGCGCCTCTGGCAGTCAGCCAAAGTCACCCGACTTCGATCATGTGAACACAAAGAACGAATTCGCTGAGATGTCTGCAAAGTTCAATCACAAAAGCGGCGACAGTAATGGCAACAAGCATGGTCATGGACATGGCCATGGATTGCTGCCCACGTTGTCCAAGAAGAAGGCAGCAACGGGCACTGTAAAGCCCATTTCGGTCAAGGATGAAAAAATACTGAACCACGCCATCGAAATGGCCAATGAGATTAGCGCCAGGTGCGTTATTCTTGACTTATATGGTATATATAGCTTGACTCATTTCCTATTTCTCTTACACAGATCCATGATTGATTTGGTTACTGATCATGCGCCAGCTACGCACAGTCCGAAGCGCAAGTTCAGTTTTCGTTTTCCGCATTTAAGTAGCGGCAGTGGCGGTGGCGGGGACAAGTCAAGTGGGGTTTTGGGTGGTGCTGCAGGCAGCTCTGCGCTTACGCCCACCCATGGCAATGCCTCGCCTTTCTCAAAGAAGAAGAACTTTACAGAGGAGCTGCAGAGCATACCCGATATACAGGTGAGCTTTAATTAGATTAGATCGACTACTGAGTCCTATGCTAAGTTAATGTAGAGCTAGTTTGGATATTGAAGTGATGTTATGTTTGCTAATCTGGAGGTCTCTTTCTTGTCTACACTCTGCTCTCTTTTCTTCATCATTCGCATTGGCGCGCTCCGTTCATTCCCTTTGCTTTGTTTTGGTTGTCCAATTTGTTCGTTTTTCTTTGCCTTTCGTTTCGTTTTCCCCTCACACATCAAGCAGCGCTTTCGATCGCTAAGCGAGATCAAGAACAGCTCCGACCTGCGCATACCCATCTTTGACAAGGAGAGCTCCGACTTTCTATTTGAGAAGTCCCGCGAGATACTCAGCCGCCCGCTGAACAGAGATCTGAATAACGAGGACTCCAGAGAGCGCGAGCCCAAGAGCATCAATGATAATATTATGGATATTGAGAATACTTTGAAGGCGCTCAATCTCGACTTTATGCACACGTACACGGAGCTGGACAAGAGCGACTCAAACGACACCATTTTGAATGATCAGCTGCCACAGCTGGTGGGGTCCTTGGATGATGGAATCAGCAGTGCCACCGGCAGCCTGAAGTCCGCTGTCTACAGCTACAGCAAT